TAAACTTCCATGAATGCACAGAAGACTTGTGGCTAACAGTACGGTGTACTCCAGAGACGATTCCAGTCCAGGTCCCTTCACGGCTCACCAAACACTTGTTGAAAATATTCTCTTAATAACCATTCTCTTTATGACCCTTTCAAATTCACTGACTACATCCAGTTTACTTCATATTACCTTCTCAGACAATAGTAGGGGGGAAATTTCTCACTCCTATAGTTTGCTTTGCTCTCTAATCCCCCTGTTCCTGAGAATAGCTGCACCTTTTTTTCCTCTACTAAAAGATATCTGCAGGTTATTGTAAGTCCAAGATCCATTGTCAAACCCAAAGCCTCTCGTCCTGAGGGAGAAATATAATCACAGTTCAAAACAATTTACAATGATATAAAAATAATGAAGCTAGCAGTTTCCAAAAGGAACTGTTGTTATGGAAATCCCTTTCCAGTAATCTTGCATGGCAGCCAATTATATAATTATTGTTAGAATAATTGCTACTATTATCAGCCATCAGTTAACGTATTCATTGTTTTAATACATTCCTGTAGAAAGGTGTTGCAAAGCCATTATCTTGCTAACTTGGTGGCATAGTCTGATACCTTGTTTTTTTCATAGAAAATAAGAAATTTAAAAAGAAAAAAATTGCCTCACCACCTACTGAAAAATTGCAGTACAGGAGAGAGGCTGAAAGAGATTTTGTTGTATAGAGTTAAAAGGATCCATAAGGAAAAATCTTAGAAGAAGGAAAAATTTATAAAACTACATTGATATCATATATCAACAAAATGGGGCATCTATGGGATACAGATTATTGTAATTAAGGTCATGTTATGTCCCAAATACTTCAGTGATTTAAATTTTATTTTGCATAGTTATAATGTTAGTGTAAACAAAAACTTAGAGTCCAGTTCCAGAAAAATCCAGAATGTGATCCAGGAATCAGTTTTGTAATGTTAATTCTACTAAGGCTAGATACAGAGGATACATTAAATACTAGCTAGGTAAGAAGACACTGGCTTCCAAATGTGGGAGGAAAAGAAAGACCTAGTTGATCTAATTCACAACCTGGTAAATTGGTGTACTATGTAAAGCTTTATTATTTATTTTGTTGTATTCTAAAAATCACCTATCTTCATTTCAAATTTGTTCATCGTTACTATTTAGGAAAAATAATATCTGTGACTTTTCTAAATTAGAGTTAAAGTTTATTTGTTTTCATCTCTTTTGTAGCAATTTAGTTGTGAAGGATAAAGTTCCAATATTTACAGCCCCACAAAATATTAATGCTTAAGCTTTCCCCCTTTTTCCTGAGTCACTTATCCAAGGCTATTACACTTATTTACCTCCAAGTTGTAGAGCAGAGGCCTGGCCTCAAGACTTTTAGTTTATTTAAACTTCTAAAGTTCACTTCGCTAGCATGATAGGAAAGCATGGAAACATTTGAGAAAGTGGAGTGTTTATTTATTTATCCATCTAATACCCACTGACCACCTACTTGTTCCAGACTGTGACAATATAGCAATAAAGAAAACAAAGCCCCTAGTCTCTAGGAAAGAGTGTATTAAAAGTAGAAAACGAATAGATACATACACTGTCAGATATTTATACGTTTCATAAGCAGAAGACAAGCTAAGGGGACAGAATGATGGAAGCAGAGTGATGGGGAGATATTACAATTTTAGGTCAAATAATCAAGAGTCTTTTTTTTTTTTTGTATCAGGAGTTGAAAACAGGGCAATTAACCACTGAGACGCATCTCTAGCCATTTTTATATTTTATTTAGAAACAGGGACTCACAGAACTGTTTAGGGCCTAAATTGCTGAGGCTAGCTTTGAACTCTCAATCCTCCTGAGCTGCTGGAATTAAAGGCATGTGCCATTGCATCTGGCTAATCAAGAGTCCTTCTTAAACAGTGGTATTTGAATAGAGATTTTTTAAAAAATGTGAGCTGCATGAATATTTAGAGAGAAGCATCCCTGTCAGACATGGACAAGTACTGAGACCCTGAGATAAGAGCTTTTCAGCAAATTCAAGGAAGGATGAGGAGGCCAATAAGTGGAGCCTAGGTATTGGGGCAAAGAATGGTGGGAAATGAGGCTGAAAGGAGGCTGGACAGCACAGCAAGGCCTCGAAAGACAAAAGAGGGTTTCTTGCTTCAAATACAGTTCTCAGTGAGTTTGGAAACCACTGTATAGTTTTAAAGAAAAAAACTATTGTCATATGTTTAATTTTTTTTTTTTTAAAGAATCAGTATGAACACTCTGTGGTGAATAGAATGCAAGGGGCAGAGGTGACATGAAATGACAATTAGAAGCCTGTTAGAGCAGTTCAAAAAGTGTAAAAACTTTGTATCTAAAGACTAGGTGGGTATGTGAATTCTAAGTCTTTCAAGGGGCTTTTAGTTTCTCTGGGACTATCTCATTTACACCCTCAAAAGAAATTTGAGGGCACATCATGAAGGTATCTATTCACATGCTTTCCTTTAATAAAAGGCATGACTGGAAAGAGGGAAGATGTAAAGTTCACCAGTCTTTGAAGCTTTGAAGTGGGGATGAAGAAACACTGAAAAGGAAAATTGATGCTTCTATGTCCTAAATGAGAATAAAAATCTGATTTAAAAAAAAAATAATGTGTATAGAATCATTTCTATCATACAATCTGAAATGAGGCTTGGTTTTGATTAATGATTTATTAGTCTTTAAAGTTCCTGTAAAACTAGTATTGGGACCTCTAACTCACTTAAAATATGGGCAGCAAAAGACAAAACTGTAATTCCTACACTTGTGCATGAATTTTATATATCTTTTTCAATAAAAGTATTATTGATTCATGCAATTTTTTATTTTTACATCAAGTTACTAATGATTTTTAGAAATGACTTTTCAAAACATCCTCAGTTTATAATCTATAATTCATCTTATTATTTAATAATTATTATAGATGTTAATTTTGGCAAATACATTTCTAATTATTTCCCATATCTCATTCATTGTTCATTATGATTCAATAAGAAAAAAAAATCTAGAAAATAACTTATATCAGAAGAGTAAAGGAAATAATCATATTCTTATAGAATTTTTGGGAAAAATGCACAAACTCCCAGAGTTTTAATTAGTATTTATGAATAAACACAGGAGAGAGAAATTACATGATTTTAGAATATTGGCAATATTGATTGAATAAACAAAGAGTCACTTTGAGGTAGGGGGAGAAAAAGAACAGTTAGTATAGGTAATAAATATTTGGGTCTGATTGGGAAGATGGGGGCTGATTAGAAAGGACAAGACATAAAAAGCTAACACCTCAGGACATTTCTTCCTCATCTACCTATTGACAAGATGACCTGTCTCCAGGGATTGTTCCTCCCTACAAGTAGTTGTTAATGAATGAATGCCTCCTGGGCTGATCCCTTCCTTTCCCACCCCATCACTCCATCTTTGGCCCACCTTTTGGCCACTAACCATGCACATAGGATATGGGGAGGAGAGACCATGAGAACAAAGAAAATCTAAAAAGTATAAAAGGGAGAGGACACCCCCACTTCCTTGGATACCAGCTCTGGATCCCCTTATTCCTCCTGGGAGAAGTCTGTCTCTGTTCTGTCCCTTAAACAAAACTTGCTTTCTACCCTCACCTTGGTGTTTTCTCAGGAGTTCAATCTTCACATCTGGGGAAATGGGACTAGGCCCATCACTGTATCAACTTGATGCCTCCACACAGGGATTTTATTTTATTTTATTTTATTGGCATTTTTAAAATTTGTTTTAATTAGTTACACATGACAGTACAATGATATTGACATATCATACATTTGGATCAGATGGGGTATAATTTCTAATTTTTCTGAGTGTACAGGTATTAAAAGTGTGATTGTAAGATCAGGCAGCAGCGACCAAAAGAAGGCAGATTTTAAAAGGCTACTGAATGAGACTTTATTGAGATTTCACTCCTGAGTGGGACCCTCAGACCTACAGAGTGGGTCTAAGGATAGCACCAGGGGCTCACCTGAACTGGAGTTTTTATTGGGCTTAGGGCAGGAAGGGAGGGCTGGGGACAGAAAGAGGAGTTTTTAGAGTCCCTTGTCCTACTGGGGTTGGTTGGGGAAGCTGTATAAGATCCAGGATTGGCCAAGAGACCCCGCTGATTGACAGGCAGTTCTGTCAGTGCCTGATTGGTGTTTCTTTCGCACATGCAGGTTGCTTGGTGCTTTGTTCCTCAGTCACGTCCATCAAACTAACAGTGATAATCAGATCTTAATTAATTTACCTTAAGAAATTTGAACTCACCATAAGCATATGTAGACAAATTCCCGCATTTTCTTCAGGTAATAAAAGATAGCGTTTCTTTGGAAATGAGACAAATCATACCTTCTGCTCACTGATATATACACCCCCCCCTCCCACACACACATACAGAGAAAGAGAGAGAGAGAGAGAGAGAGAGAGATACTGAACATGGGCTCAAATCCACATGCATAATAATTTTTTTATCGGGGATTTTTTGAGGCATTTATGTATGCATAGTACCTATAAAACAGATACAGCTAGCATTTTATTATTGGTTATTTCCAAAAGTGTGTGTGTGTTTATATAAATATTTTTTTAAAATAATTATTTTGCAGATATTGTTTACAGTATGCCTGATTTATATAGTATAATATATATTTAATATTTATCTTCAGGTTATCTAGGAAAAGAAAATTATAAAAAGCACACCAGATCTTCAGTCAAAGTCAATTATTCTTGGCAGTTGCACCATAGAGTGTTCAGTATTTTAATTCTGCATGTTTTAGGCATATATTTGGTTGTGTTTATCCCAAATTTGTAATAAAACACAATAAAAAACTGAAGACAAAATCTTAGCAAACTATTTTTTTTTCATAAACAGACATAGTTGTTTGAAAGTATATTGAATTACAATGTAGTTAATATCTGGAAACTTCTATGGTAAATTTCTTTCATAAGAACATTCTTCTATTACCATTTGAGATAAATGAAATAAATTGCCCCCTTTCCTTGATCTTCATGATTACATTCAGTATTTTACCAGAGCACTTTTGTTTTCATCTGATTCAATTACTTCATTTCCTCAAATGAACAATGATAACAAAAATGTTTTGGTTATTATCAGGATAAATTATAAAATCTCTTTCAGGCTCCATACACACAGATTCATGTTGACAGAAATCTCTGCTTTAGGGTATCTGTAGAAAAGCTCCACATTTAAATCTAAAGTCTAGATTTTACCGAAATTGAATGAGCTGACACAAAAAAGTACAGGAGCTAAGCCTGTGTCCTTCCAAATAGTGTTGGTTTTCTGCATCAAATGACTGATTTGGTTTGCAAATATAGTATATCCATTCTTATATCCTTGATTATATAGTGTGTTCATTGTGACACTAGTGCACATATATGTGTATGGGAAAATATTTAAAATTATCGGGTTTCAGTTAATAGATGATAGGCCAATGAAAAAACAAATGGTTCCAGAAACAGCTGATATTTATTTATAGACTCCAAAATCTAAAACTATTACATACCTAAAACTGATATGAAATGGTAATGAAAGGGCTATGATAGACATTTCAGATTAATATTGTAGAGAAATATCTGTACTAACTTTTCAGTCAAAAAAAATTCTATCATAGGCAGAATGAGTATCTGGGCAGAATGGTATTATGTGTATCTCTCTGAAGTTTTATGCTTTCCCAAACCACAGATACCCTTGTGTTCCTTTACTCATTACACTGAATTCATACAAATAGTCTGCTTAGTTTACTTCCAGGGAAATAAAATATGTGAAACTGGAGTACCTTTCTACAATGTACAGTTAATTTCATCAAGTTGCTGATGACTTACTTTACTTTTTTTGAACACACCTAGCTGATTCCCAGTTCTCCTCACACAGATAACATTTATTATCTCTTCACATCTTTTCAAACTTATTAATTTGGCTAATAGTCATTAAAAATTCTATATCATTTAGGAGTTACAAATGATTGGAAACACATCTAATAAATAATTCAATTTATTCATGCTTTATTTAATTCAACAGGATCTATTTCAAGAATCAAAATAACAAATTTAAAATGTGCTTTATGAAAAACATATCTATTAGTATTATCCTGCTCCTCTTCATGTTGCTTCTCTTTCTCTGTGTGAAAATCACCTAAGATAAGCCATCCTTAGAAGTTTTCATAATCAAAGTATCAACATTTTGTTCATGTGGGGAACATGACCATTTCAGTATGTGAACTCTACCAAGTAAACACTCTGATTTTCACTCAAGACATTATCTCAAGAAGAGGCATGAAGGGAGATTTTGGATTTCTAGCCCAAACAAATTTTACTTTGGGAACAGGTATCAGGAGATGTGATGGGGTTCAACATGATATTTGCTGAGCAGAAGTCGTCACTTTGCTGTCATAAATAAGCTGCCAATTTGACAGGCATCCTTCTGTATTCTGCTATTTGCCCTGAAATTGCACTGGGTCCAACTGCTGAAGGTCTGTCTCTAGACTTGCTTTGCATGGGCACCTCATCATGAAAAAAAGTGTTAAAGATAAGCCATAGACAGGACATCACCCATAACAAACTGTGTTCTCCTGTTCTCATTCTTATAAAGACACATCCAGGGGATAAGCTCACTCCACAATTAGCTGCTGAGGTTAAGTTCTTCCAGAAGCTTCAAATAGTATCACTTTTCAGAGAAATAAAATGTCTTACATTATATGTCCTTCCCAAGTAGCCATTGCATTTACATGGCTTGTAGTGAAATGGTGCTCTCACAAGAATCAAGGGACTTAGGAAGGTGGAATTACTAAGGATGAAAGGGAAATCCAGGGGAACACATGGCACACTACCAGTGGCTCAGGAGGCTGAGGCAGGACAATTGCTAATTCAAAGACAATCTCAGCAAAAGTGAGGTGTTAAGCTACTCATTGAGACCCTGTTTCTAAATAAAATACAAAATAGGACTGGGGATGTTGCTCAGTGGTTGAGTGCCCTGAGTTCAATTCCCGGTAACCCTCCAAAAAAAGAAAAAAAAATCCATTCATATCACATTTGCTTGCATTCTGGTTCAAATATTCTAACTATTCCATGGATAACTTTGTTTATTAATTTTAATGCCTGACACACTTCTATGGAAGAAACTGGCATTTCAGTGTCCTTTATGGCTAAGAAACCCAGATACTGTAGTTTACAGGGAACAGACTACAGTGTTGATTCTTTAGTGTAATGCTTTTAGATTTTGCACAACATTAATTCATAATCATCTGGTCATTTGAATTCAAGTTCTCACTTTAAAATATTATTAGTGTCTGAAAATATTATAAAACTTCATTTTTTAAAGTTCTGTACGTTTGTGTAGAATATTATAGTTTTATTAATCTTAGCTGAACATCATTTTATCCATGAAGGATACACATAGCCAATATACATTCAGAAACCCTTCTTCTTACCCTGAGTTTTCACCTGTGCCTTTTTCTTCCTTCATCCAAGAGAATAGACAGGTAGGTAGATAGATAGATATTGTAGTAGGCAAGCATTGATTTGGGAGTTTCCCACATTAGTCATTGTATCCCTACACACTGTATGTTCTGTTAGAGCAGGTCCCCATTATTTTCAGGACAGACTGTTTGTTGAGATGGTTAAGCACATGGGTTCCAGGAACTTATCTCCAGTTCCACATCCCACCTCTTCCTCTTTCTAGTATGTGATTTTATTTTAAATATTTTTCTATCTTAATTTCTTCCTGTTTGAAAAACATGATAACTATAATATCTTATATCAATGATTTCTAAAAGTATTGAAGCAATGCAATTGTAAGTTATATATTTAATTGATAGTATTCGTTATTGTTGCTGTTAAAATTGGATCTTTAACAAGGAGAATAGCAGCCACATTTTGAGATGTCAAAAATAAATTCTTGAATAACTGATCACCTCATTGACTAAAAGAGCAAATGGGAAGAGGGGATCACAGAGGTCATCTTAATCTGTCATTTTCAGATCACTCTGATCTTGGACTCCTTTCTTTTAATCAATATACATATGATTTTAATGGATCTTTCTCCATTAAAATCATATGTATATTGTGCCCAGGATTTGTGACATACACCTGTAATCCTTGGAAGGTTGAGGCAGGATGATCACAAGATCCAGGCCATCCTTAGCAATTTAGCAAGACCCTCAGCAACTTAGTAAGACCCGTTTTCAAATAAAAATCAGAAATGGCCGAGGAAGTAGCTCAGTGGTAAAGCATCCCTGAGTTCAAACTCCAGTACCCCAAAAAAGAGGAACATATTCCTGTTTTCAATGGCACCTTTCTATATGCCTATGATATTTAGGAGGAGGAGGAGGAGGAGATGATGATTGTGAAACTCTAAAAACTACATGCAATAAAAGTATAAATTCTCTAGTTGAAAATGAGCAACATGGAATCCAGGGTCCAATCCTCTTAAATCTCCTTTACCTCCTCAACAGTTCTTGAATTGCTTTTACTAAAGGATTAGGTCTCCAAAGAATGTATAGAAAAATTTTGGTTCAACTCATTAAAACCTAAAAGATTCATGTGCTAGTCTAAAATAAGAGCTGGGTGTGGTGGTGTATGTGTGTAATCTCAGTGACACAGGAGGCTGAGGGAGGAGAATGGCAAGTTTGAGGTCAGCCTTTACAAATTAGGGAAATCCTGTCTCAAAATAAAAATTAAAAAGAGCCGGAGATGTAAGTCAGTGGTAAAGCACCCTGGGTTTACAGCCTAGTACCACAAAAAAAGAAAAAAAAATTGGGCACTTGTGTATGTGCAAGGGCGTGTCAGAGCTGCATGCCTATTAATGATTCAGAGCCCATATGATATACAGGCATATACTTTTTAGTGATATTTTGGTCAACAGAATCCTTATGATACAGTGTTCTCATAAATTATAATGTAGCTGAAAATTTTCTATTGATTATAATTTTGACTATACATTTTCTCTGTTTAGATGAGCAAATACCATTGAGGGATAATTGCCTACAGTATAATGGCATGATGTACAGGTTTGTAGCTGAGGAGCAACAGGCTGTATAGAGAGCTTAAGAATGTATGTGGTAGGCTATCCCATCTACATTTTTGTATATTCACTGAGACATTCACAACAATGAATTTATCTAATGGTGCATTTTGTAGAACATGTTCCTGTTTTCCATGGCATATTTCTATATGCCTATGATATTCAGGCATACTGTAATTAATCCAGGAGTGCTGTATTCTGCTTTGCCTGAAGTCAAGGTATACTAGTCTCACAGAGAAACCTTTCAGAGAGAAAAGTAAAAGAAGTTTAGTCTGTGAACAAAACAAAACAAAGATGCACGTAAAACATTTATTTTCTTTTTCTGAAACCATCGCTCATTCTGTTTTCATAATAGAATGTGATTCTTTGCCATTTCCTTTGCTTCTTCTTATGCTGCTTCAGAATCTGAATTATTAATTCAACAAATATTTGACAGCCTTCTAGAAGGAAGTTAGTTCTAAGATCTTGAGATCTAATTGTGAGTTCATGGGTATGTAAGTTAGCTGGATATATCCATTCCAGAATGCATAGTTATATCAACACATCGCATTTTGCTCCTTGAATATATGCAATAATTATTCAGCAATTAAAACTAACATTCAATGAAAAAAGACAAAGTTTCTGCCATCATGGATTTCTACTTTTAAAAACTCACTAAATAAAATAAAATATTTCTGGGGCATTGTCAAAGAGATTGAAGAAATTTCCAAGGTGACATTTCAAAAAAGTTCTTAGATTGTGATACACAGAAGCAAATACTATTTTTAGTGCTAACATTTGTTTTTTCGGTTAGCTTATGTAGGATGTTATATAGTCTTGGTAACAAACTTTTATTGAACAAGAATATGCCCTTTTCAGCACCTTTTATTCTTCACCATGTGGCCATTAATATTATATAACACAATTCAGATGGACACATCACTTGGGGAGATTGTACGATTTCCTTACTCTCTAGGTTTGGCCAGTTCATGCTACTCTATGGTATCAGTTATTATTTTAGTCTCTCAGGCCATTAGTGCTAATCACAGTACCTTTTGCTATAAAAATAAAATATTCCATTATAGCAAAGTTCACAAATATATTTTTAGTCCTGCAATTCACATTGTCCATCAAAACAGTAAATGTCTCCTTCGTATATTATTGTCTTAGACTTGTAGTTGAGTATATAGTATGAAAGAGAATTGTAATGAAGCCACAGTATAATACTAAATATTTGCTTGGACTTAAAAAATGTTAGCCTCTTATTATATTCAGTATTCTGATATTTGAGATTACACAGAAAACTACATCCAAATGAGTGTCTGAAATCATTCACTTCTCTTCAGAACAGGTTGTCATTGGAGAGATACATTCAGCATTCATTTAGGTCTTGTAAATTTTAGGCACTAGTTTAATTTACATAGTTAATGCACATAATAGGAAGGACAAAGTCCAAAACAAGTTTCTAACTTAGAAATGAGCACATAGTATTTGATTAGTATTTTAAAATTTACAGAATACATCAAAATAACTAGAGAGAAATCAAATTTATGTTAGTTTGGTAATACCTATATCAAAACAAGTTATTCCATTGGACAATATTTTTTTTCTATAGGAATCAGTCCATATTCTGTAAGATATAAGTAGTTTTTCATTGTTTATGATTACAGATACATAATCCAATTATATTATCAATAGTCAACGTTTCAGGTAATATTTCTTCCATATGAAGATAGTTAGAATCTAAATTGTAATTCCTCAAAACACCATCTGTTTATATAATTGGCAATTAATATTGATAATTATTAATGAAGCCTATTTTATAAACAAAACCACACATGTCAGTAAAACATTTTAAGCCTCTCTGGTCCTATTTTAAAGCAATTAAAGGACTAAGATAAACGAAATCCGTTAATTAAAGTACAGTTATGGATCATATTAACAAGCACCCCCCTACTTAACCATTAAAATAAATTCCCAGAATATTTCTTTAAAATACTTATAGAAATCTCATGATACCAGTTTTTTTTTGAGGGGAGGGAGAGAAGGGGTTGAATTTATGCAATAAATATAGCATGATAAACCCTGCAGAATGCGTAAGGCTGTGTATTTTTAATGTACATTATAATGATTCAAAGCCCATTTGATCAAGGCAGTAATTAAGAAGAGCAAATGTATTACATTGTCACATACTAGAATAGTGATTCAGAACACAGAAAAAATAATCAATTAAATATGAAACTGCTCATACTTCATTAATAATAAGACAAATTCTTATTTTCCAATGTTGTCTCTCATAACAACTTTAGATGTCTCAAAACATTCTAAGTTAAGAAAACTGGTGATCAATGTTTCATAGAACCCATAGGGACTAGGACAAAAGTTTAGGACAAGAGGATGGGTGACAGAGTAGTTCTAATTTAAAGCTAAATTATCTCCTTTCCTTTTGTAAAAGGGGATGGATAGGACACCTGGATGCAGTGGGAAAATTATAAGCAACCAGAGTCTGGAGACTAGTACCCCACTCCCTTGTAGAACAAAATGATCTTTTTTGCCTTTCTTTCTTTCTTGTTTATCTTTTTTCTTTTTCTTTTTTTTTTTTTTTGAATTTGAATTGAGTCAACAGGAATTTCTGACCTGATTCTTTTATTTTATCTTAGTTGCTTCAGCTGAAAATTGTATGGATCATTTAAAATATTATTTCTCTTTCTTTTCTGATTAGGCTGTTATATGCAAAATATTGATAAAGGATACTGAGCTATTTTGCAAGTAGAATTGCTACATAACTATAGAAAAACATTTCTTTTACTACTAGTGATATTTTTAAATTCTCCAAATCACTACATTTCTTCAAATATGCCATTGTGCTCAAATTAACACCATTCTATCTTAGAGTAAGTACATCTACTGATTACAAATTAAATTTTCATTTAATATGTTTTTATAAACTTCCATATAAGAAAGTCCAAATGTATTCATTTTTGCTTTAGAGATTCATTTTATAAAATCTGTGGTTTTGTATGCTTTCTGAATTTATAAAATGTGTCTGTTACTCCATTAATTTGAGTCTGCAAGTTTGATGCTCCATTGATTCTACCAGATTATTATTCAAGTGTCAATTCCCTTTGATTCTGAGCTTTTTTCAGATTTGAATGCAGCTATTTAATACTGACATCCACATGTAGAAACCTAGTTTGGAGGATTAAAACATAACAGTGATTACTTTCAATAATACATTAATTTAAAAAATATGAGTCTGTTTTTATTTTGTGTGTCTACATAGCTATTTTACTTTCTTTAAATACCCATTTTTAAATATATAATGTCTTCTTGCTTATTCTATTTTAGAACCTTCCTCCTATTCTATATTCCACTATCCAAATTCATATCAAAATTTGTGCTGCTCATTTCAAATAGCTGGATTTCTAGCATGGAATAATTCTAGTAGAGAGAAACATATCTATTAACATGTGTCTACAAAATGTAAAAGAAAAAGAGAATGTGTCAGAAATTTGGCTATTCATTCAAATATTTTGTCGACATGATGCAAAACATATTTAATAACTTCTGTTACCTGTATACATCCTTGACAAAATTGCCTTGGCATTTTTTACATAAAATAATTATTATTAGTTCAAAAGAATAAGGATAGCAATAACCGCAATGACATGAAGAATGTATTCAGGTAGAGAAAATTCCAATCTTGGGTAAAGTGACCCCAGTTTGCTAGTATAGACTGAAATCTTTATAATATGATTGTGATTTGAATTTTCAGAATACTGAAGACCCACAACAGTTAATTATCCTCCAGTTGATTTCAACAACTTGATCATAAAACAACTAGTATCAGATATGCAAATGAATAAAAATAATTAAAAGTTATGTTGCATTTTAGTTCAAAACAGGACAATTTATACTGGGCAATTTGGTGATGACATTGAAACACTTATGATTAGAAATCCTCTTCCAGTATAGGTTATTGCTCAAGGATCATAATCAGCTTGGAAACTTTCAGACTACGTGGAGATTACTTTATAAAGTTACATAAAATTGTGAAAAAAATGCATGCTTTAGAAATTCAGTATTTCCATCAAGCTTGTTGTCTAAAAAGAGTATGAATACAAGAGCAAATGGATGTTTTTAACACAGTTTCTTGGTATTTACAGTATTTTCTCTTCTCTTGCCGCCATCCCTTCAAAGCTGGTTAATTGTTTCTCTGGAGCCTTTTTCACTTCACATTCAGAACACAGAGGCATTTGCAATTTCTGTCAAATAACATAGAAACACAATTAGAAGAATCAAAATAAAACCATTTTCAGGTAAAAATATAAAATCCTAAAGGATGGTAATGAAAATCCATATCTAAATCAACACCTGACTTCCAATAACTGCTTTCAGAAAATTTTGATTGTACCATTCACGTCTGACCAATCTAACCCTAATAAAACTTAAGATTGCTATAATGGAATATTTTTGGTTACTTATAAAGCAATACAGAAGAGAATTCAGAATGAAGCCTTTGAGTTGTGTTGATGGTGTTTTTTTTTTTTTTTCTTTTTGGCAGGGGGAGGTGGGATAGGTACCCCTTTCCACCTTGCTTTCCCAAATCTTCTTTATTCTTTTTCATCCCATAGGAAGTTTATTTTGCATGTATTTTGTACTCTGTTCACACACACACACACGTATATATACATATATACATTTTGTATGTACATATACATATTTTTGGTTGTGGCATGGGTGAAGTTGAGGGAGAGCTCCTTCACTGTGAATCTTATGAGAATCTTTAGTGGAAAGCACGGCCCCACACAGGTCCAATGGCCCTTGTTGAAGGAACTCTCTAGTACTAGTCAGTACCACCCTGTCTCCAGCTAAAGCAAACACACTGATTGCAATGGATCCAAGAAGTACTTCCCAACATAATCAAAATAAAACAGACCAAGAAAGCACATACCTGTGGGACAGGCTCTGAATCTGCAGTTGCATTTCTTGGGGGACTGTCCTTGTGTTTTGTTAAACAGGTTCTGCCCTCCTATAAAAGTGGCAAATAAAAATAGGTCAATTTAGTTAAATTAAACAAAGAAAAGTAGGAGCCAAACTCTTTTGAAAAATTCCCTTAAGTTCCCATCACTTTGATGAACACTGAAAGGGAAGCTAGGGACAAAATCAGTACAACGTTGAGTGGGACTTTCAATGACAGATCAAGTTTTCATGGTCAGTTTTGAGATCTCAGCAGTGCTTATGGAAATCAGCTGCTACAAAGAAGTTCAATTCTAATAGAAATTTTGTTTCCTTTTTTTTGAAAGTTAAAAATAAGGGAAGAATTATAGAACTACTATATTTGTGATGCGTGTGGACTCAAGAATTTAAAAATGTCAATAACCACTGTTCTGTAGGAATAACAATATTGCAAGCCAGGAAGCAAGTTAAATGATACTATCATCAATAAGTCTCTCAAAAAGTCTTCAGTATCATTACAAAATATATTATTTTTATATCTTAAATTTTATTAACCAATGAACTTCATTTTACTATTATTATCATCAATTATGTTGGCAATCAAAAATATTCCATTTCAGCTTCATTTTTGGTGCCACCTACTCAAACTCAGATTTTCTTTTCACCATCACTATTAAGTATACACAAACACAAAACTTTTTGTCAAATCAATATTTTCTTTGCCTAATTTCCCAATAGTACTTTCAGTAAGTATCCTTTTCTTTAATTCTTATTGCTATAACCTAAAATAGAATTCCAACTCATAGAAAGAGACAAAAAGTGCTATTTGTATGAGAGATTTTATGATTAAGCACAACAAGGTTGTGTTTAAACCCATTGACTAAGAAGTACATGATTTCCCAATGCTCAAATTCTTAAATTTACTATTACTACTTTTGTGGCCTTGGACAAAGTATTCCCTTTTTCTCAATATTTCAGTATTCAATATATATTTCATTATTTATTTTTTCCATTGAGGAACTGTTTGCTCCTAAGTATTCACAGGAATTAAATTTAAAAATTTAGGGCATTTATCTCAGTGCACCTAAACCTACTAAGATTTCAGTACATTGTCTATAACATTAATGATGAAAATTATTAACATAAGGAGGCAACTAATGTCCAGAAGCTCTCTTTGCTCATCCTTTAATAAGGATGTACTAAATCATAACAGTGTTCTGGGTAGAATAGCAAGCAACATATACACACATACACACACACATTACATGACACAAACACCAATACTGCAAAAATATTTGTCTCCCTCAAGCATCTTTGCCATATTATGTGGCAAATATCTTGGTCTTAGGTATTTTAGAAATAATTCAGCAACTGAATTATGGGATTTGGGGGAGTTAAAACATTTCTTTACTATGCCTGTTACTTTCATACAGAGGAAGACATTGATTTAGAGTCTAAGCAGGGCAGTGGTTATGATTATGATTTTAAATGCTAACACAAATATATCTTCCAACACTTGATTATAATGAAATATCTTCAAAAGAACTATATGGAAAATCGTCAAAAGTTTGAATAGTTAAGATAAACACACTATTCATATTTCTTGAGAAATTCCACATGGATAATGAAGTGAAGAAAGGTAACAAAGTTAATCATACAGGAGATTTAAATTAAACTACTAATTATAAAATGGTATCTATATGGTAGAGAATTTTATGCACATCACCTATGTAAATGTCAACAAGATTCTGTTTTAAAGATGAATGGTACTTTAGACTTTATGAGGAAGTAATAATTATAGAATATGCTCATTTTCTCTTGAAGATATTGACAAAATTGGGAGAGAAACAATATAAGAGAGGATTTAGTATGTATATTGAAAATATATTTTCTGGTAAAAAGAATATGTACTTTTTAGCTGGGTGTGGTTGTTCACACCTGCGATTCCAGAGCCGGGAAGACCTCAAGTTTCAAAACCAGCCTCAGCAAGGACCTAAGCAACTTAGCAAGACCCTGTCTCAAAATTAAATAAATAAAAATAAAAAAATAATGAATAAAAGGACTGGGGATATGGCTCCACTGAATTGTATACCCAGTACCCAAAAAAGAAAAAGAGAGAGAGAGAGAGAGAGAGAGAGAGAGAGAGAGAGAGAGAGAGAGAGAAAAGATATGCATTTTGTAAACAGGGTTGGGGGGCATCAGAGGTACAATCAGTCAAGACTTCATAATCTTTAAAATACACAAAATCACAGAAATAATGTATGTATCATTGTGAGATATTTGAGGATAAATTGAGATCAAGTATATCAAGTTCCTAAGCAGTGAGAGGAGCAGGCTTTGCATTCAGAAAACTTAATAATGAGTTCACTCATTCACTTGTTCACTATTGGACATGGGGGCTGTAACTCAACTGCTTTTGGCCTAGGGATCATGTTCCCTATTTATTCATAGGGGAAAAAAATAGAAATTATGGGTTGTTCACAGATTTTAAATAAGAAGGAATTGGGAATAAAATATCTGACACATTTTAAATATATAATAAATCAATCATATCTATAGTTAATATAGCAGAGTACTTGATATTATATATTTAATAAAAGGCAATTGTAATGATTTATGATATTGAACACTGATATGTAGAATTATGCTAACATTAATAAATAATCATTAAAATGGTAAAATATCTTGTTTCTAAATGAAGAAATAAAAACCATACATGTTCTATCAGCAGTATATATGAATATAGAGTTCTCTGTCTACTAACAATCCTTCTGTCTGTATATCTCTTTTATAATGATAGTATGGAAATAAATTAATATAGTTTGGAATTAATTTAATAAAATTAACACATTATTTTAAATATTTTCATGGTATGGCATATTTTCATTTTGGATATTTTGTCTTCAGAGGAAATAATTTGTTATTGAAAGAAAATGAAAATAAAAGAACTTTGCACACAAAAGTAATCATTATGGGATTGTATATAATATAAAAGAAAGAATACAAAATGATGATTGTATAAAATAGTGGTTGTATATAAGTAGGAGAATTGAATAATGGTGAAAAAATGGATAAATAATTTATAGCTGTGAAGAGAATGTTCTTTAAAGATACTTACATAAAATATATTTAATCTGAAAACACGTGATAGAAAATTATACAGACAATATCACAATAATGCAAAGCTAGTACACTGAAAATAGATTTTCATAACATTGTAAATGTCTAAGCAAACAAAAAAGTTAGGGATGGCAAAACATAAAACTTCACTGTTGTACTTTGACATTTGTATCATTTTCAAAATAATATGCAATTATTTTTTTTCTCTGCCTCTCTGATCCTACATGTAACTATCTATTTCTATGTGTATCTCAATCTATCTCTCCATCCTTCCTTTGATTTCCTCCCCACTTGCCTTTTATTCAGATCTTTTCCTATTTTCTATCTTCTCTTTCTTTCTTTCATTCTCCCCCCCATTCTTATGGATATAACTCATGTGTCTCTTTATATTAAGTATTACTATCTATGCAAGGATTATCTGTTTTCACTTGGCCAATAGGTCAATGCACAGTTTTGTGAAAATGTGAAGTGTAAATTAGAAAAGTGCCTCTCTAAGCTCAACCTTCTTTATCAATTTGAACCTCATTTATTTCTTGTGCAGAAAAAAAAATTCAGATGTAATTTTCCCTCACGCATGTATAATTAAACAATATTATTTCACTTGGGGAAGAACAGACAGAGATGTAATGGGGTATAGTGAATGATGGATTGGTTACAAAAAATAACTATTTTTGTCTTAAAAGAAACGAAGTTTTGTTAATTATTTGGGGAATTTTATAAAATGGTACAATTAAATGCTAGCACAGGCCTTCAAAACACTTTCATGATCTCAATTAGGTAAAAATTCAACCTGATTATTAAAGTACCCAGGTCTTGAAATTAAAGTAATAAAATATGCAGACTGATCAGGAAAGCATGTACAACTTCAGCTGCTTCAATATTCAGCTCACCTACTCAATTATGTAGGAGACCTAGGGAGGAGTACAGTTGCATTTATAAATTATGAACTGGGAAAAAATGAAATGGGCCTAGCCATGAACACATCTTTATTAAAGTGATTAAAAATACTCTCTCTCTCACACACACACACACATTTTCAGCAACAACATGAAAAAAAATTAGTTTTCTTCTGAGATTTGTCAATGAACTAACATCTGAAAAATGTTGGCTTATGACCACAAAGCAATTTAGGTAACAAAAAAACTATGTAGATGATACAAGTCCTGCTAATTACTTACTTATATGCATAAGAAAAACCAGGTGATCACAATGTTTGGTGGAGGGGTCTATAATACTGTGGTATACTGATAATTATCAGAATTCTCATTGTGATAGGGAGAGAATAGGCTCTGAAGTCACACATGAATGAATTTGAGACCCATCCTGGTCTTCTACTATTTGGGATAATGTGGACATGCTGATGAACACTGAGGTTTCTAGTCATTAGCATTATTAAGTTTAAATTTTGATATTAGAGAAGATAAATCAATCAAAATCCAGACTACTATATTTCAGAAAGGGCAGTATTTTAATATGAAGAACATTTAAAAGAATTGATATCAAAAGAAATTATATTTAAAGAGGGCGGTTAATGGAAAGTCCATTAATATGTAGTTATTTGGATCTTTGTTTCATTTAAATTTGTCTATAATTGTCACATTGAAAATTTCACAGGACAGGACAGTACTTGATGGTGGAATGTTGATTGAAAATAGCAATTTAATCTCATTTATACTCTCACTTGTGAAATGAAGCTAATGTTGTATATATTGCCAAAGTGTTGACATCACAATTGTGTGAGATAATAGAAGTAACATGGCAATGTGAACAAAGTTAGGAGGTAGCTGTTTCCACCTTAGAATTCTGGTATTTGTACACACTTCAAAATATATATGTTGAAATTCTAAACCAAAAGGGGGTAGAATTAGGAGAGCAGAGATATTGGGGCGGGGCGGGGCGGGGCGGTGATTAGGTCATCAGAATACCCGCCTCAAATGTGGGATTTTTTTCTCT